GTGTTTAATGAAGTATTACAGAATTTTATGAAAATATTCGCTACTCAAGTGCGAAGGGTGTGGGTGTAACTCTTTATCACTACATCCACACCCACACCCACGCCCCACTCTCTTCAGTGCGAAAAGCCTTGTTCAAAAGTCGGTAGAGAAACGTATCGGCTGTGTACCATTTGGTAGCATAGTCTTTCGAGTAGTGGTGACGAAATTCGTTGATCTTGGTCAACTCGCATCTGCTGTATCGATAATAGTCAGAACATTTCTCCAACATATCTTCTTTGGCTTTCTCATCTTGTGACATTTGTCGCAGAACGTCGATAAGTAATTGATGCCCAAAAAAATCTTGCAGAATCTTTAGTCAAATTTCGAGGAATATTTGCTTTTGATCGAAGAAACTATATGCCAAAGTTCGCTTCCCAAGCAGACGTATTGTAGCGCTGATCGATGAAATCAGAGAATCGTGCTCAACAAATATTTCGACAATTTTGTCGTACTCTTTAAGTAAAGAGAGATAACGCTCACGATCAGTACAAATGATAAATACTCTATATAATGAATGAATACCATGCACTTGTTCTAAAATCTCTTGAGCAAGTCCACCTATTACAATCAATAAAGCTTGTTCATCTTTGATTGTTTTGATTAAATCAATACAAAGCGCCATGTCTGTATAGAATTGTGCCGCAGGATTCAAATCCGTTAACATCTCTTGTATTTGAAGGAAGGGAGGCGAGTCATCAATGTCGAGATCGAGCCAGATAAGTTGGAAATCTTCTTTATTTTCGGGCAACTGGAAAAGACGCAAGTTTCATCGAGTGACGTGGTCATCATCGTCTTGAGGATCTGTGAGTTTTACCATCTGCTCTCTTCGAAAATTTTCCATTTTCAGTGCCAAAGACCTCGACATAATGAGTTGTATTTACCTTTCTTAAACTTTATTTCTTTTCACTACCTCTACTCTGACTGTTATACGCAAGCAATGAATTGTATTTAAAAAAAAATCAGACGAGACTTTCATTCGTATCAGTTATTAGTATGGCACAACAAGTAAAAAAATAGCTGCTGCTCCATTTTCTCATTATATGTCGCTTATGGAAGGAAAAAGTGGGCAAATAATGTAGGAAGAAATTTAATGGACGAATACATGCATGTGCCTCTCAAGAGTTGACAGAAAGAGAGCTGATTCGGCCTTTCGTGTTATTGTCAAAGGGAGTAGTTGCTTTTAAAAATATTGATTTAGTAAATTGAAAACCGAAGTCATTTTTTATTGCGACATTTCCTCTTAAAACTTTATTTATCTTCGCAAACAATGATGCCGTATAAGTATAGAGAAAAAGCCGGCATGATTATTCAAATGTGCACTCAAAATAGTAATGGGTCGTAAGCTATAATACGCAGTATATCTTCGGTTTCATTTCGTCGTAAATCATGACAGAACGGAAAAAGAAAATTCGTGATATAGACGAAAATATACATAAAGCGAACAACAGAATATAAGGGTGAATAGAAAAGTATCATTCATCTGCACCTCGCCTTTGAGTTATGCCTTCAGACATAACGGGTCGGCCATAAAAAATGGAGCTCTTAGTATTTTCTATATATCTTCCCTATATGTTACCATAGAAAAGAATATCTTTTTTAGTAACACATTCCTCGTTCGATTCTCTACAAAACTGCACATTTAACTTAGTTCGAATGCATATGTGTAGTTCTATAAATACACAATCTGATTTATTTGTTAAGAATAGCCAACTTTCACAACTCCCTTTTTATCAATTTTGTACACTACATGTTTCAATGTCTGAATTAGTTTTTATTTTAGGGTGTGGGCGTAGGTGTATTTGTCGAAATATCTGGATTGACATCCACACTCACATTCACACCCTAACAGCAAGAAATATTTAAAAGTATATTCTTGTCTGTATCTCTTCGTTTTTCCTTTCGTATGCGTTGCTGAACAATAAGTCAGAATGCACATCGCCAGCAGATCAAATTCTGAATAAATGTTCATTCTTCTTTGCCAGTTTTCATCTCGGCTACTTGTCTTAGCTATCTGATATAGACGGACTTCTCCTCTTACAAAAAATAGTTGTTGTTGATACACCACAAAAACAAAATCCTACTAATCATTTATTTCTTTGTTTTCATATTTTTCTCTTGTTATAGATACCAAAAGATATATTCGATATCTTGAATATATTCAAGCATTTATCAACGAAACGATAATTCAAAAACATGAGTGAAGATATTGAATTGCAAGTCCGACGCGAAAACGCTCGTTTAGTGATCCCGGATTCTCAAGATCCACAAACAGTTGGTCCTATCATCGGCTATGCTCAAGAACCGCTTCTCCCACTTGCAGATGCATGTACACCATTGATTCCTATTATCTTTAATATATTGGTGTATGTTTCAATTGCTCTAGAAAATACTCCAGATGATCCATCAGATGGTCTGACAAGCGATGAATCAGCTTCGATTTATCTCTACACGATGGAATGGAATGATGGACATAGAAGTCTCTATTCCATTCTCAATGAAACACTCAGAACAGCTGATCGCGAACATTTACGACCTTGGTTCAAGTACCTGAAACTTTTACTTACCGCCTTGGTCAAAATAGAATGTGCACCTCAACAGACGGTTTGGCGTGGAATACGAAAAGATCTTAGTCGCGAATTTCCCCGAAGAACTCAGGTGATCTGGTGGGCTTTATCATCTTGTACAACAACGCTTCCTGTATTAGAGAATGATCTCTTCTTGGGTCAGGAAGGGACTAGGACTCTCTTCTCCATCGAAACTTTCAGCGCTAGGAATATACGAAATCATTCGTATTTTACCAACGAGGACGAAATTTTATTGCTGCCAGGGACATACATGGAAGTGCAATCACAATTCAATCCGGCGCCTGATCTCTACATCATTCATTTGAAACAGATGGTACCAGACAATATGTTACTCGAACCTCCATTTGAAGGTATATTGGAAAGCTAAAAGATAAGAAGTCATAACATGGCTATTGTAAAAATTATGATCTGATAGTATTAATAGATTTGAAATTTTAGAGCTCTCGGCTTCATTCAAATGTCTTTATTAATTTTGTAACACAGCGAATAACTATTTGCCAAATTCATAGACGATTTATATGTCATCTTTATGTTCATATCAAAGGCTTTCTATCGTATTATTGTTAGATACTCAGATTCCATTCGAATTGCGCGAGTGCTTTTTCTTTTAGAAATACTATCTTAGACTGTGATCATTCTGATAAGGCATTCTCTACATTTCTTTGACGTAATATGTCCTTGTCCATTGCACATATGTCGTATGATATATTTTTGTCTGTCTCTCAATCACATATTCTGTTCTGTAGCTAGGGGCATATAAGTTGCCTATGAATATAAGTTATGTTCATGAAATAGGTATGGGTCTCTCTTGGAAGTTCAAGAAGCATAAGATTCATATGTCAGACTGATTTTTTGATTAACTAATAAATAGCTTTAAAAGGATAAACCAGATTAATCTTGATCTGTAATATATAGCTAGAGAGGATCACTGCGCCGTTTATTATATTATTATAAATCACGATTAATGTCTTATCCGTCTGAATGAACAGGTGAAATAGTAATCACCATAAAAGAAAAATACCGAAAAATGGGACCCGTGAAGAAAATCCAAACAGTCACCTATCAAAAAAATTATAATCTTCATATTATTTTGACAAAATGAGCTTTTTGTTCCTGATGATAGAGAAGAGTTCCAATTGCTTATTCCTGTGTGAAAAAAAATTAGTAATATTGCTGAGAAGTAGTATTGTCTATTCAAAACTTTCTGCCTTCTCAAAGACTTCACTAAATCCTCTCAAATGTTCTTACAAAGAAAATCTCTGATGAATTCGCGTAAGTATAGTTAACTTTTGGTAGGATGCGTTCATGAACTACTAACTATAAAAACGCAAAAGGCATTCGAAAGATTTTTGAGAGATTCCATTCTGTGGAGGCTTTTTCGCTGACCATTTCATTGAAAACATCTTCTATGTTCATAGACAAATAGAGATGTTGGGTTAAATGACTCCTGGCCTATGAAGTTCCAGAGAGATTTGTTGCGCTTCAACGATTTGAACCTAGCGCCGTCATTCGTCGAAAAAATAGAGTGTTAACTTTGTTAAAATGATCAGCGAAAAGTATTTGACAAAGTACTTCGGATACGTTCACTGTTTGGTGGTAAACCACCTATGTAAGTATCTGAAAAAAGTTAAATTCTGCATTGAAGCTTGTAGTACTAGATTTCAAATATGTCAATAATTCGTTGATATATAAATAAAAACCTGGGAACTTTTGTGAACTGTTTGGCAACGTAAGCTGATTCGATAAAAATACGGAGGAGATACACAATGTTTTCGCTAAGTAACTTTCTGCACATCCTATAGGTTATATGTGAATACTCAATGAGTCTTAACGACAGTGGTCTAACGTCATATTGTAGTATTAGTCACGCTTGAATGAAGTCGAAAGTGTTACAATTTTGTTGTTATCA